ACTTCCAGAAATTTCTCCTAAGGTTATAATTAAGGATGCGTGTGAAGATTTAGCTACAAATATGCTCACTGTTTATAACAGAGAGTAGACACTTTTTATAAACTGTTATGAAAGTGAAAAGTGTCTAACAACAGAGCTTTGGTTAAATAGATTATGCTGTATCTATGCATTGGAATTCTATTCAGACAATAAAAAGGATATTGTCAATGGCTATTTATTGACATGGAAAAACATCCACAATATTTTGCTAAGTAGAAAGAGACAGACTGTAGAACTATTTGTAGAGTGACAGTCCCTCTTTTTGTTTAACAAAAAAATTAAGATACTAATAAAGGTGTTTTCTAAGTAGTATCATTTTGCTGCTGTTAAGTGCTGTCGAGTCTATTTCCATTCATAGCAAGCCTGTATAGGGTTTCCAAGGAGCAGTTGGTGGGTTTGAACTGCTGACCTTGGGATTAGTAGTCCAGTGTGCATCCTACAGATATGATTGTTGTTGTTAAGTACCATCGAGTTGGTTCCGACTCATAGCGACCCGGTATAGGGTTTCTAAGGAATGGCTGGTAGTGGTTATAAATTGGGCTGCTAACCTCAAGGTCGGCAGTTCAAAACTACCAGTGGTTCCGCGGGAGAAAGATGAGGCGTTCTGCTCCCATAAAGATTTACAGCCTCGGAAACCCTGTGCAGGGTCACTGTGAGTCGGAACCAACTCCATGGTACTTAACAACAACAACAACCATGTAGTCAAACCAACCTTGCGGTCGAGTGTTTATCCTACAGTACCACACCAGGACTCCACAGGTATGATTATGAATGTGTTTTTTTACTCTTGCTTTTCTCTTTTTAGTGGCTCTGTATGATAAGCACTGGACTACAAATCACAAGGTCGGCAGTTCAAGTCCACCAACTATTTCTTGGGAGAGAGATGAGGCTTTCTGCTCCTGCAAATATTTACAGCCTTAGAAACCCAGGGTCACTATGCATCAGAACCTAATCGATGGCAAATAACAACAACAACATTACACATATATACACGATTTTTGTTATAAGAAGATGGCTATTTTAGAACACTGAGAAAATTAAAAGAAGCATCTTTGGGTGAGCTCAGGAAATGAGAAAAGAGGATTAAAGAACCCAATAGCCTCGATACCTCTGGCTATTCGACTTCTGTCAATATAGTCCTCTATAACCCGAATGTCCCTTCTCATATTATATTTACCACATGGCTGTAAATATGTAGAGTGCAAGGAAGAGACTTCACAACTAGGTTCCAGTCTGCAACATAAACCATAGAGAGCAAGCTTTAAAACTATTGTTGTTGTTAAGTGCCATCGAGTCGGTTCCGACCCATAGCGACCCTGTACAGGGTTTCCGAGGGTGTAAATCTTTATGGGAGTAGAAAGCCTCATCTTTCTCCCGCGGAGCAGCAGGTAGTTTCGAACCGCTGACCTTAAGGTTCGCAGCCCGATTCGTAACCACTACGCTACCAGAGCTAATCTCTTTTAGTTTTCTCATTTTTATACTAGGAAGATTAACATTTTCCTCAACATGGTTATTTGAGAATAAAACATCTACAGATACATTGTTGTTGTTAAAATGCCATAATGTCAATTCCGACTTTCCAGTGGGAACAGACTCTATGGAGCTTTATAAATCTCTGAGGGTGCAGAAAGCGTTATCTTTCTCCCACGGAGTGGCTGGTGGGCTCGAACCATTGACCTTATCACTGATGAAATTTAGAAACTGGAGTTAGTGGTTAGCTTATCTTCTCTCCCCTATGTCATGGAGGGCATAGTCCAAACATCTCTTCTTGTTTAAGTGACGTTGAGTCGATTCTGACCAATAGTGACCCTGTAGAGGGTTTCCAAAGAGCAGCTGGTGAGCTTGAACCGCCGACATTGCAGTTCAAATGGGTTTGCAATCTGGCGCATTAACCCACAGCGCCAATCATCTCTTGTAGCACCCACATAAACCTACTGGCGTAGAGTTGATTCTGACTCATAGCAACCCCTATGTTGTTGTAATGTGCCGTGGAGTCGGTTCCGACTCATAGCGACCCTGTACAGGGTTTCCGAGTCTGTAAATCTTTATGGAACAGCTGGTAGTTTCCAACTGCTGACCTTGTGGTTTGCAGCCCAATTCGTAACCACTACGCTACCAGAGCTCCTTAGCAACCCTATAGGGCAGAGTAAAACATCTCCTTGGAGTTCCTGAGACAGTAGATTTTTACAGGAACAGACAGCCTCATCTTTCTCCCTCTCAACCTTACATATAGAGGGTGCTCAATGAATCTTTGTTGACTAAATTTGTGTTGCTTTTTTATGATTTAGCTGATCATGGATTACTCAAAGGTTAGATGACTCAAGGATTAGTTTATTCAGCGCTCTTGGAATTTTTCTCCTCCCAATTTGTTGCAATGGCAAGGTTTATCTTCTCCCCAAAGAGATGATGGGCAGAGAGATGAAAGAAAGCTAACTCAGGCTTCTAAGCTTCTAGGCACCAAGCAGTTTCGAGGGAGAGGGCTGGAGGATGCAGAGAGGTAAATTAGGGCAATTTCCCCTCCACTGGGTAGACTTTGGTTCCTGCACCAGGACCATCCAATAGGACAGCTAAGAAGCAAGGGGAATGGGGTGGACACATTCCACAAGTTTAGGTTCTCTTGGCACTCTTGTCTCTATAGGTGGGCGGTGCAGTTGTATCTGTCCCTCCCATCCCTGCTGCTTCCTTCCCTATAGCATCTTCCTAGATGGGGAAAGCAGACTGGTGCTGACGAAAGGTCTCTGGGTTGTAAATCAGGAAACCTGTGTGACCTATGGCAAGTTGATTATATTCTTAGAGCCTTAATTCCCGCATCTGTAAACTGGGAATAACCACACTAGCCCTGTTCCCTGTGGGCCACTGAGAAGATCAAATGAAATGAAAAGTATGTACCAGCAAAAAGCTCTCTATAAACACCAGGTGCTCCTAGTGCTGGCTGCGGGGCTTTCCTGTAGTCCAGGGAGTCATCTCCAGCAGGATATAACTGCCCACCAAAGCGTTCCTGCCCGCCCCCCGCCCTGGCTGCATCGGCCTCACCAGTGCAGCTCCATCTTTCCGTCACTGCCACTCTGCGCCTTAAAGATCCTCATCTCCCCCGTCCATTTCCGGGTCTGGTTCTGGGGGTCCTCCGGCCTCTCCAGGAACACTAGTCTTCAACTCCTTGCAGCAGTCGCTACCCGGGCGACCCCCGCTGGGCTCGTCCTCCTTTGGCACTGCCGCGCGGTCAGAGAATCGCCCAATAAGAGCGCCGGACCGAAGTCTGACAGCTCGGGAAGCGGCCAATCGTGCCAGGCCGGGGAGGTGGGGGTGCTCAGCGCCGAGGCTGAAGTTGGGTTGGATGGGGGGAGGGGGAATGAAGGGGATACAAAAGAGGGGAGATAGGACTGGGGGCGCAGGAACTGAACGAGACGGGGGAGGGTGAAAGGACGCGCACCTCCCAGGTCCAGCAAAGGGACCACGGGTTGGACCCAGCTCCAGACGCCAGGGAGGGAGGGGGCGCGGCGAGAATTTTAGGTGAGGAAGGGGAGTTGGGGGTCCCCGCTGTCCTCGGGAGCCTCACCCAGCCCGGCCAGAAGATGCCGGCGGGGCGCCGAGGCGGGGGCAGCGGCCCGGACGGGGGCGGAGGCTACCGCGCGCCGCTGTGAGCGGAGGCCAGAGCTGCGCTGGGGGCGGGGAAGCGGCTGAAGCAGGGGATGCGGAGGGCGCTCCCGCGGCGGCGAGCCGGCGAGGAGGGAGGAGCGGCTCAAGCGGCCGGAGCAGCGCTGGGCCCGAGGCGTGCATGGCGCGCCCAGAGCCCGGTTCCCGCGGTTCCTCCGGGCTCTCCCGGAGCGACCCCGGGGCTCAGCGGCTCTGCGGCGGGCAGCTCTCGGCTGGCTGCTTTTGAGATCCGGCTCTCGATCTCTGGATGCCAAGCTCTCCAGAAGAAGCCCGTCTGCGTTTGGGCAGCACGGCGGCGGCGCTGCGCCGGATCCCGCCCTCCACCTAGTCCTTCAGCGCCCGCGCTTGGCCGCCGTGGGCCCGCAGTCGGCGGTCAGAAGGCTGGGGTTTGCGAAGCCGGAGCTACCGCCCTCCTTGCCGACGGGTCCCAGCCAACGCACTCCCTTTGGAGAGAGGAAGAGGCGAGAGGGGAAGGGCCGCGCCGCAGGAGCCGGTCCTAGCCCCCGCCCCTTGCGCGGACGCGCTGTAGGCTCGGCTAGACTTTTGCTGGGGCCACGCTCCTACTCTCGCCGCGGGAGGTGGGGGATGCGGGAGACGCCCCCCTTCCCTGGGATCCAGGACCCTCCCCCAAAGGGCTTCCGAGCTGTTGCTCCGCCCGCCGCCCCCTCCCCCGTGCTCTCCACCCCTTATCCCACCTCCCCACCCCTAGCAAGAAAATAATGCTGGCTGGTTCCCGCACCTCTCAAACACTCCCAGTCAGCCACCAAGAAAGGATACCCGTTCACTCTCCGTGTCGGGACCCCAGCCTAGCCACCCTCGCCACCGCTTCGCCTCGCGCGCCTCTGGGCTCGATTTAGGCAGAATCTACGAGCGCCGCGCTCAAGCACTGTCAGCTCCGGGGAGGCGCCGCCCGCAAGGACACCTCTCCGTCCCGCCTCGTCGCAACTCCGGCCCTGGTCGAGCTCAACGCGAGCCAGGAGTCCGGACGTCCCTCTGAGCGCGGTGCAGCTGTCAGAGCAATCCCTGCTGCCCAAGCTTGAAGCCAACTCTGTCTTGGACCTGGGACTCCTGACGCGGATTCTCAGCCACTTCACACCTCCGGGCTGCGCCTGCCTCCCGGCTCGCTCTCTAGCGACCCTCCTTCGTTCAGGACGGGGGTGCCACGATGCCCCGCTGCAGCTCAGGGCCCCGGTCCGCCCCCGACGTGTGACCCCAGCCTGGTCCCCCTGCTCGGCGGTCCGCCCTCCCCTTGGAGACCCCCGGCCCGACCCCCGGGGGAGGAGGAAGAAGACGAGGCCGAGGGGGGGATGTCCCGTTCTAAAAGCGTGAGCCCCCCGGGCTACGCGGCACAGACAGCGGCGGCGCCCGCGCCCCGGGGAGGCCCGGAACACCGCTCCGCCTGGGGAGAGGCCGATTCCCGTGCTAATGGCTACCCCCACCCTCCAGTGGGTTCGGCACGAGGCTCCAAGAAACCCGGGGGGGCCGTGACCCCGCAGCAGCAGCGCCTGGCCAGCCGCTGGCGCAGCGACGACGACGACGATCCTCCTTTGAGCGGCGACGATCCTTTAGCCGGGGGATTCGGTTTTAGCTTCCGCTCCAAGTCTGCCTGGCAGGAGCGCGGCGGCGAGGATTGCGGTCGCGGCAGCCGCAGGCAACGGCGGGGCGCGGCTAGCGGGGGCAGCACCCGGGCGCCCCCTGCGGGTGGCGGCGGCGATTCGGCTGGCGCGGCGGCCGCTGCCAGTGGGACGGAGGTGCGCCCCCGCTCGGTGGAGCTGGGCCTAGAGGAGCGGCGGGGCAAGGGCAGCGCGGCGGACGACCTGGAGGCCGACGCGGTGGATGGAGGCGAGGGTTCAGAGGATGGATGCAGCTCCGCGGGCTCGGACGCGGGGCCTGGCGCGGTGCTGTCGCTGGGCGCCTGCTGCATGGCGCTGCTGCAGATATTCCGCTCCAAGAAGTTCCCGTCGGACAAGCTGGAGCGGCTGTACCAACGCTATTTCTTCCGCCTAAACCAGAGCAGCCTCACCATGCTCATGGCAGTGCTGGTACTTGTGTGTCTCGTCATGTTGGCCTTCCACGCTGCGCACCCACCGCTCCAGCTGCCCTACCTGGCCATACTGGCCACAGCCATGGGTGTCATCCTCATCATGGCTGTGCTCTGTAACCGCGCCGCCTTCCATCAAGACCACATGGGCCTAGCCTGCTATGCGCTCATCGCCGTCGTGCTGGCGGTTCAAGTGGTGGGCCTGCTGCTGCCCCAGCCACGTAGCGCTTCGGAGGGCATCTGGTGGACCGTGTTCTTCATCTATACCATCTACACGTTGCTCCCCGTGCGCATGCGGGCAGCCGTGGTTAGCGGCGTGCTGCTGTCGGCGCTTCACTTGGCCATCGCCCTGCGCACCAATGCCCAGGACCAGTTCTTGCTCAAGCAGGTAGGGGCCTACCCGGCCATAAGAACTGGATTGTAGAGTGAGCAGGCCTTGGCCTGATTCTAAAGAGTTGGCTCCCACCCTCACCCTTTAAGTGGGGAAAAGATCTAGAGAAACAAGGCATGCCAAGCCTCTTAAACACCCCTGAGGCCCAGCGTCTGCATTTACAAAAATATGAATGCTCTTGTATAATTTGTAATGTTCCCTGCCCATAGAAGACATACACTAAACCGTAGCCATTATTGTGGAGATTCCAGTGAGGAACCGAGGTTGGTGGTGGTGGGGAAATGATGAGAGGGTCTTTATCTCTCCCACACTTCTGTCCCTGTTTCTAACAGGTCATTGGGAAGGTGGCTGGATCTGCTGGCAGTCTTTGCCTTCTGAGAGCCAACTCATTGTTTTTGTCCCTAAGTCTGGATAAACGGATGGAGAAGGGTGCCCTGGGTGCCCCTTGTCCAGTCTTAAAGAGGAGAAATGAGAGGGCTGTCACCTGTGGGAGGCTGGAGATATCCTTGGACTTGAAAGAGGAGTGACAAGTTTGTACCAAAATGCCCCAATCCAAAGAGCTGCCTTCAGTGGAAGGTGGGGGAAAGCTTCTGAGATGTGGTGGAAACAGTAGCCCCTTGGCCTGAGCAGAAAGATAGTGTTGGACTTCATAACCCTTCATGTGGGTGCTGCAGGACATTGCTTTTATCCCTGCTCAGACTTAACTCAGTGAACTTAGACTGGTAGGCTCTGCTTAAGTCTTTAACTGGTTAACTGGTGGTTCCTCTGACATTAACACAGCTTTCTCCCTTTAGTGTTCTAGCCCTGTGTTTGTGGTTCCATCTTCCTAATCCATTGATCCCTGCTGAACTTGTTTGTTTTCATGCTGCTGGACTGCTAGAAAGTCAAGGGGGCTCTTGCTGTGTGTGACTCTCTTAACTGAGGGCCCCTCACTTATGGCTTATGCCCTCTAACAGAACATGTTAACTGTATTCCCTCACTATTGCCTTTTTCCTTCTCCCCACTTCTACTGCTGACCCCAAACTTTGATCCTGTTGAGTACCATGTCTCTTGAGATGTTTCCTGGATATTGCTCTTACTCATGAGAAGTAGCACGGGCATGGACTTAAGGGTGCTGGCTTCTAGTTGAGCCTTTAAGATGCTCTGTGACTTGGGGACTGGTGGATATGTAACCTGTCTGGGCCCCAGATTCCCTTTTTAGAGAATATTCCTTCTCGTTTCAATATCTGTCCCAAACCTCACCTCCTGCATGAAACCCTTTCCAACTATTCTGCTGGCCTCTCCCTGTCCTGCACTGCTAGCAAGAAGCTAAAGAAGAATGGAGCACTTATTTGTGTATTGTCTGTTGGTATCACTCCCCATCCAGTGTCAGCTCTGTGGATGTGGGAATTCTGAGCTATACACGTTTTTCTCTCTCTACCTTACTTCCCTTGCCTTGCACTTTTTACAGTACTTGATTGGGACTTAATAAAATGCTTGCCGATTTGTTTGAGGTCCAATGAGTGGAGTAGGGGGTTTGTTATTGCTGTGTTAAAATTTTGCTGATCTGGGATCTGAAGAAAAAATATTTAAAGATCAGCTTTGAACTTGGGAGAGTAACAAGTTGCTACTACTTACTTACTGTTAGTGCTTTGTAAAGCCTCTGACTCTTTTGACTTGAGGACCCATGCTCTCAGATGGGTGTTGTATCTTAGGGGATTGTTCCTAGCTTGGTGGGAGGCTAGTTGCTTGAGTAGATATAGTTTTTCTACAGAGGGAAGAAGAACAGGTCATCCTCACGAAGCAGCACAGATATTTTCTGAATGTCTGATTTTAGGAGATTAGAATTCGATCCTAGAATCCTGGTGTGGTGCTGCAGGTTAATGCACTGGACTGCAAAGTTTGTTTGAATCGCAAGGTTGGTGGTTCAGACTCATCAGCCAGCTGCTCCTTGGAAACCTTATACAGGGTTGCTATGAGTTGAAATTCACTTGATGGCACTTAACAACAACAAAGGAGTACTGAACCACTGGTGGGCCAATCCTATGTTGCACCCACAAAGCATCTGTCTGACTATCCCTTCTAGTTCCTTGTGTAAATCTCTCCTTTCTCTTTCCACCTCCCATTTACACTGACTCCCATGCCACTTTGAGTTGCTATGGTCTTAAGATCTATGCTTGGCTACAGGATTTTGGGTGGGTTTACCCTTAACTTTTCATGATTTGCTTTATTGAATATAGAATGGTCCAAGACAAGGGAATGCAAAAAATCCTTTCAATTTGGCTTCAGAGAAGACTGTCATCTTTTTCTTTCTTACTGTTGTTTATATTTGGTTTACCTTTCCTGATTATTACTGATATAATATTTGTATTTCTTGAGCAAACTCTACTGGGTTGCAGAGGGGCAGCAATATTAGTGAGGCAATTAAGCATTAACCTTGACCTCAGGTTATTCCACAGTGGCAGGTGTTTGAAGGTGACTAGGATTAGATGCCACATTCTTTTCTGGGATGAAATCACATATCTTGGGAAATGGGGTAGCAGTGAATAGCTTCTACATTAGGTATTTGCGACTTCTCCTCCATTGTACTTCGAACACATAGCAAACCAGTTGCCATTAAGTTAACTTTGACTCCTGGCGACTCCGTGTGAGTCATAATGGAACACTGCTCCATAGGGTTTTCAATGGCTGATTTTTCAGAGGTAAATCACCAGGCCTTTCTTCTGATGTACTTCTAGGTGGACCTGAACCTCCAACCTTTCAGTTAGCAGCTGAGCCTATGAACTGTTTCCACCACCTAGGTCCTCCTAGGCATGTAGTAGGTAAACAATTGGCTTTTTAAATATTTTTTTCATCTCCCTTCCTGCAAGCCTGGCTCCCTTCTTCCCACGGTCCAGCTCTTCAACATCATTATCTGCACTCATGTATTTTATTCTTCCAAGTCTGTTTCATGTTTGGGACATTGCCTTTTGCTCCAATTAGGGGAGTAACATTTGGTTTCTTAATCAGTGCCTCCTGCTGGTTTTATTCACAGAGAACCAGGAGGCAAGGTGGGGCAGCCTTGCTTTGTGAGCTGTTTCTTCTCCTGCTCTTTCTCTTTGCCTGGTATTTGACACTCTCCCCCTCACTCCCCCTCTGCTCGCACGTTCTTTCTCTCTCTCTGCCTGCTCTTATCCTCTCTTACTTCCCTCTCCCCGCTCCCCTGTTGCTCTCTGCCCACCTCTCCTCTCCTTCTGCTTTTCCATCTCTTACTCTTCATACGCAGCCTCTCAGTGTCTCCTTCTGTGCTCTTGTCTCACTGTCGACTTCTCGCTGGGTACAGTAGGAGCGTCACGGGTTGTTCCCCCCCCCCCCTTTCTTTGCCTGTTAGAAGTCCCTCTGCTACACCCATACCATAAATAACACTCGAGCATCTGCCAAACACATTCCTCACTTGTGTTAATAGGCTGCAATGATGCTGGAGCCCGTTGCCATGGCAACTTCATTTTTGTTTGACTGTATCCCACTCTGCTACAAAAAGCCTCTGCGTGCACTCTCACACAAACGGGCACACACACACAACTATTACATGTGCTTAACTGTGAAAGATGATTTTGGAGAGAACCTTTTTGGGGACCTGTGGGGGTAGCAATAGTCATTGGACCCAGGAGATAAGCATCTCCACTGTCCAGTGTCACCCATAGGGGGTGAGAATAGCCAGAATGCTCTTTGGGAAGTAGAGTCCTGTTCAGATGTGGGGTGTTAGTACTATACAGCCTCAGTAAACCTGTCTGACATGCCTCCGTGCCCCTGTGTGACCTCAGGAGGAGAGCTTCTAAAGCTGCTCCAAGTGTGGGACGATCCATTCGCCCACCCCGCCCTATCATTCTCCAAGTCCTTCTTCTTTTCCCTAACCCTTTTGGAGAAACTTGGTGATTTCTTGCATTTTGTCCTTTGTGCCTATTTGAACCTGTGACTGTCTCCAGTTGTTCCAGAGATCACAAAGTCACAGGCATCATGTGGGTGAAGTTCTATGACTGTGAACACGTGTGTGTCTGTGGTATGGGGGGCAGAGTGGGAATGCAGACCATGAATGGATGGCTGTGGCTGTCCAGGAGTGTGTCTGTTTGCCTGTCGTGCCAGCAGGGGTGAAGGAGGTGGGCCTGGGGGAACCCTTTATGTTGACTTTGAAAGGAGATAGGAGAAGCTCTGCCCTCTTTATTCTTGGCTTGTGGTTGGCTTCCCATGGTTCTTTGCCATTCTCATTCTGGACCTTAATTGCCCTGCTAACCTTGACCTTAGCCTCTCACAACACATTATCCTGGATGTCCCTCTCATTCCTTAGTGAGGCTGAGGGGAGTGGTCAGCTCCCCTGAAACCATGGAGCCCCACTCTTCCTTTTTAAAAATCCCTCCTGCTCCACCACTGCAGCCACCCCATGTGTGTTGTTGGCAGGTGCTGTCTCCCTGCCTGTGGGGCATTGTGGAGGAGGGCACACTTCTGCTAGGGCAGCATCTGCCACCAATTGCTTCCCCCACCCCTTGCATTTCTGGACAGGAGAAATCTGGTCAAGGTTTACTCCAGCGGCAGCGGCAGCAGCAGCGGGGTGAGGGTGGGCTGGCTTTGAGTTTGGAGCTGAGGAGGGTCTGCTTCTCTTGCCTCAAGGCTAATTGTATTTGCCAATTATAATTGCTAATTGTTTTCATTATGTAGTTCTTGCCTCCTTCTCGAGGCAGTTGGGGGGGGGCTCTTTGGGAGAAGACAGTGGCTGGGAGTGAGGGTCTAGCAGGGCTTCTAGTCATCTAGATACTGGGGATGCCTCCATCCCTGTGGGGAGGACTTCAGGGATGGCAGAGACTCAGCTGAGGAGCAGAACGGACAGCTGCTGTATTTGTGGGAATGAATGTTCACTGTTCCTAAGTTTTGATCTGGAGCAAAGCATGAGGTCTGCTGTGGAGCCCAGAACAGTGTGCTCATGTTTGTCTATAAAGAGGACACACACGATGTATTAAAGTCCCTCCAAGAAAACCTGCTCAACC